TCACTACCACATAACCAGTTAAGAATAGTGCCTGAGACATAGTAGGCACTTAATGTACTTTGCTGAATGGAGAGAAAAAGGAAATAATAAAAGAAAAATGAAATAGTAACATATAGAAAAAATAATAAAAGTGGAGCCATGAGCATAAAAGTAGACATGTATGATTTAGTAGAAAGTTCAATAAACTCAGTGAACAAGGGTTATAGCCTTGGTTCTCAGGAACTTCTAGACAAGCCATAACTTTTTAATGCTTTGGTTATTTGATCTATAAAATATCTCTTCCTTCATGCTTTAAAAGGACACTATGAAGTGTTATTAAAAGAACAAGAGAAGGAGAGAACAAAGCTGCATTACTTAGGACTTAATGATTTTCTGGGAACACATAAATGCTGGTAAGAATAAGCATACAAGCAATCAGCAGAGAAACCTGCATCAAGCACACTAAGAAAGGGAAACAAAAAAGAAGGACATGTAGTTAAATTGATCATGCCAACAAGAAGGTGGTGTATATTTTTGGTGGCTGGAGACTGTTTTTTGTTTGTATTTTGTGGCATATGCAAATACAAGTCAGTATTAAAATGCAATAAATAAAGTTATATGTGAAAAGACAGGTGAAGATGCATTGGTATCTTAGAATGCAATGAAATACTGACATGTGAAGCCAGAAAATCATAATTAGAACAGAAAGAATTAGAATTAGAGAGATTCAAAATATAATTGGGAAGGAAGAACAGGAAGAAGGCTGATCTGGGTATCACAAAGGAATATGGAGGAAAAAATAGAAGCAGAATGTACAGGAAAGAGGTGAGCCATATAGCCATCTGCTATCTATTAGGGAACAGCTCACCCTGGGCAACCCATGCTGTTTTCAAAAGCAAGCTGAATATGGTATGGTTGATTGGATAAAGAGGGAAAAGACCACCACTACAGAAAAATTAATAAGAGAAAAACAGGAAGGTGAGAAAAAAAATTAATTTTGGTGATATGAACTATACACACTTTACTAGTGGTCCCACTTAAAGTACCTGTCTAATTGCTAGTCATTTAGACTTAGTCTCCAACTTTAACTCTCTGTAACAGGGATAAAATGTTAGGAAGAAATAGCAGAGAGCCAGAGAAAGTGTGTGTGTGTGTGTGTGTGTGTGTGTGTGTGTGTGTGTGTGTGTTTAAATTCTGGAAGGTATGCTACTACTAATTTTCTATTTCTTTTAATTTTTTAGGTTAGTGACTTTTCATAGAAGAATTTTACTAATTGCTTCAGTTATTTAGTTCAAATTGAGAATCTTTCAGTTCCTTCCAATTTTTAATGTTTTAGACTATAAACAAACATTTAAAGTGCAGAAAAGTTACTTGAAATCACTTCCAAAACTCCTTCAAGTACAATCATGAGGCACTATGAAAAGGATAAACTTGAACTAAAATGGTACTTTGAAACCAAAGGAAAGAAACTCTTTGGTATGTTCAATCATGTTGATCTTTTGTACATGGTGGTAATTCATATTGTCACTGTGGTAATAATGGTTTACCATGAAACTTAATAAAAAGATTTAAGACAAAGCAAAACAAATTTGGCCCAAGGTGAAAATACCAATATATTCTTGAATCTGAGAGTCTATTGTCAAGCTGGATTTCCCATCCAGAAAACATTTTATTTCAAGATGGTACCACAGTTTCCTTGCTATACTCTAAACAATCAGTTCTTAAAAAATTTTTAGTCTAAGTTTGCGACCTCCAAAAAGTGTCAGTCTTTTCCATATAAAAAGAGGGTAAGAAAAATTCTAAGGCCTAGCCAAAGAAAACAAATTAATGAGTTGGGTTGGGGATATAGTTCCGTGGTAGAGTGCTTGCCTAGCATATACAAAACCCTGGTTCCATCCCAGCACCCTCCTCTCCTCTAAAATGGTCCAAGTATTATGTGATTCAATGCAAATCAAAAATTTAATTAGTATCACAACAATATAATCTTTGTAATTGCCAAACACACATATAAAAACTTCAGAATAATATATATATATATATATATACACACACACATATATATATATACACACATACATACATATATATATTTACACATACATACATATTTTCATCCAGTCGTATGTTAGATTTCATAATAACTACATGTCCACATACATTAATGCAGTGAAAACATAAAATTATTAAATGAAAGAAATACTAATTTTGGAAAACCAGACATAGTCATTATACCTATAGGCAATTTAAAATGCTATGATTTGTACTTTTTTTAGTCTAATAAAGACAAAAAAAAAACTTCTTGTAATTTAACAAGAGTCATTGAGGAAGGGAATAACTCTAGTATTTATAAAATGAAACCCTAATACAAGGAGATAGATTGGTTTGGGGACTAACACAGCACACACAATTACTAGGATTGTCCCTCTTCTACTCTCTCAGGCTCCAGGATAAAGAAGAATCAATTAGCCCTCAACAGACATGACCTTGAAGGCCACAGCCCTATGTATAATATGCTGAATATGCTGAGACAGAAGGAAAATGGAAAAGGAAGCATAAAGTCCTGAAACCATGGCAGAGCATGTTTCAGATATGATAATGTCATTTAAAAATACAAGTCGTGACAGCTTAGTTCATGTCAAAAACATGCATGATGAGAGGACAGGCCCAGTTCTTTCTGCAACTGAGCAATATCTAATTGTAAAAAAATATAATTCCGTTCTAACCTTTTTAATATTTTATATTTTTTGCTTTCCTTTATTTAATGGCTATAAGCTTTTAAAATAACAAAAATAACCAATTACAAGTTTCTGAAAGCAAAGCTGCCTAGACTAACCCCTACCCCCCCCCCCCCAAAAAAAAAATGAACTCATAATTTTTTTAAGGTACCAGTCTAAAAAAATAACAGTTTCCCACATAGTTTCCTATGGGCTTTAAAATGTTAACCAACTGTCTTCTCCTAAGTTTTCAGGAGAAAACTATTTTTCCAGACTGGTTATCTCTGATGGACTTCAGAATGCTACAGCTGTGTATCTGGCCAGAACTGGCCACGATGATGCTTTTAGGCAGCAGTAAATCTTATCCCCTTATTGCAAATGTCACAAAATCAATGCCCTGTCATGGGGGCGGGGGGAAAGAAAGAAAAAGAAAAAGATATACCAGATGGAATGTACATGCTATTAAAACACTTAGAAGAATTTCCCTTTGAAACAATTTCTTAAAACTTTACAACTACTTTCTAACAAGGTCCTAGATCAGAAAAATATGCTGCATATTTCTTTGCATGATTTCATCAAATGACAAAATTACAGAATTTAGCTAAAGAATTTTACAAATAACCATCCTTTTTGAGGGGGTTGGGGGTAGGGGCTCATTCAACTGATCCAGGAATATTTTCATTAAAGACTTAGGTTGAAAATTATGAAGACAAAGAAGTAACCTTGTCTTCACGGTGAATTTTGCTTCCCTGTGCAGGATCTGCACTTGCTTTTTATAGCTTGTCATTTCATCTGGATATTATTTCCCGGTCACTTTGCCAGGTGGGAAGAGGCAGAGAATGCAGTGATATCTGTCAGACCTTTAATGATGCTTCAGGGATTCCATAAAGATGCAAAGCAGTGTCTGCATAAGAAAGGTCTTCCTAATTACATCTGGGGGAAAAAGAAGCTTCTTTTTAAGTCTTTGCCACCAAAATGTTGTGTGTGTGAAAAGATCTTGAATCTTTTCAAGCACATAGCAAGTTCTCTCTGTCTTTCTGTAACACACTGCACTACTGCATACTGAACACAATGTCTGAAGGAGGTATTCTTTAGTCTTCATTATGATCTAGAGGGAAAACAGATAGGATATTGCATCACAGATTCTCTACCTTCAACTCTTTTACCTCTGAAAGATTTTTAAAGACATTTTTGAGGAAAAAATTCTCTGTTTTTTAACTTTTTTTCTTGTAAGTGAAAATTCATCAATGGTAAAAAGTGATAGAGAAAAAAAGTAAAAATATTAAAGGGGGGAAGCTATAAAAACTCCTCCCTTCTATATGTAGATGTCTAGAATAATCTGACTAGTCATGGTTTCATCCTTTCAACTTTCCATTATAAAACTATCGCAATGCCCCAGTGCAGACGGCATTATATTGTTCTGAATTGTTTTAAGAGCGTAGTCTCTTCACTCACACGTTATTAAACAGGCTGCTGCAACCTGGCAGGTTAAAATGACACATGTCTGAAAAAAATGATGTACTTCACTAATGGAACTTATACTTTAATGACTGCCAAGGAAGCTATTTAAATGTCTGATTATAGGAGACAAAACTAATCTGGGAAAATCCCTTCCTGCAGAATTGCAATGTGTCTTGAACAAAATAAAACTGCTCCTGATAAGTGCTAGTAACCAAAAGTACAAATTGGGTGGGACAGCAATAGTGTCAGGCTAGGGAGAGCTGAGCACTATAAAGATCTACAGACTTGCTGCAGTTTTGGGAAGAAACAATGATAACACAAAGGTGGGGGAGAAGTGGTGAGGGAATAGGAAGAAGAGATGGAGACAGGTAACAGGCAGTTTGGGGCTACTGGGGGGGAAGAGCAACTTTTAAAATTGGGAAAAGTAAAATGCCAAATAATGCTCATGGGTATATGGAAGTTATATTCCTTTTAAAAAATAAAGGACAGCCTGATGCTTTAATTTCTAAAAACATCAGAGATAAACTGAATTTAACTTAAATTCAAGCATGACCTTCTGATGCTGAAGTTTTGAATCCCAAATCCCAGATTTAACAATCCATCTAGCGGGAGCTGCTATTAGAAAACTGATTAATACCAGGAGTTTATACATTTTTTTTTTCTTTTACTCATCTCTTCAATACTACCCTGAGCATGAGAGTCACATGATTTGCTCCAATAAAACCATGCAATTAAAACCCAAGAAGAAAGGAAGCAGCTACACGCTGATTCTAGAGAACACCTCCTGGAAGCTGCATCCCACCCTTTATGCATCACCATCATCTCTCTCTCTGTCTCTCTACTTACAAAGTTTAGGAGCAGTTTGGAGATTAGTTTCTGTTGTTTGTGGCTGAGTTGCTGACTTGGGTGTTCTCACCTCAGGGTTCCGAGTGGTTGAAGGGAAGGGCGGTGCAGTGGATGGCAGGAAAGAAAAAGCAAAAATACGATTCTTCGGGGTTGGTGCTGCTGAAGGTTCAGAAGACCCAGCAGTGTTGCCAACTTGCACTGTAACTTGAACCTCAGTTTCAGATTGAGCCCTAGAGACAGGTGAAGTGTATGCCTTAGACGATACCCACACAGCTGAGGCAGCAGTTGGATCCAGAGAAATAATAGGGTCCTGGCCTAAGCCCCCAGGGTCAAGGTGAGTAGGAGAGTCGTACTCAAATATCTTGTCCACAAATACCCACTTGAGGCCAGCAATGCAGAGGCAGAGGCTGACCAGGCAAGCCAGAATGGGGACAATGCAGATTTTCTCTGAGTTGAGGCAGCCTCTCAGGCGCTCGGCTTCCAGGCACACACAGCAGGGCACGGCCAGGCCCACAAGTCCAGGGGTTCTCCCATCTTCAGTCTGGGTCTCTGGCATGTCTTCAGCTGCCGGAAGCCCGTCCAGAGATGGGTCTGCACTCAGCTGAGTGGAGGGGCTAGAGGACCTCACAGGAGGCACCTCAGACATGTCTGGGGAATAAATCTCCATCGGCTCACCTCCAGAAGGCCTGGCCTCTCTCACGGTCCATTACCATGCAGAGCCCCCCCCAACCAAATGATACAGCATCTTAGAGGGGGAAATCGATAAGTCGTCCAAGTCCAAGGCCATTATCAAAAGCGAGAGGAGTTCAGTTGGAAGAATAGAGGGAAAAAAAAGAAAAAAGAAAGAAAGAAAAGCTTCTGGCAACTACAAAATAAAAGTATATTGTAATAATTCTTTAGCTGTTGTTTCTGGGCCACTTTTCCAGTTCTTTTAAATGCTTCTGCAAACCATCCCGGCTGGTCAGGAGGGGCCAAAACAGAATCGGAGCCGATGATGGCTGGCTAATTAAGTAAACCAGTAGCCCAAACTGAAAGGCATGTTTCTCACCTCAAGCATCTGAAGCTGGTGTCTGCTTAGATGAAGAAAACAAGTGTCATGCAGGAGAAGTAAAAGCAAAAGCAGGACCAGCGGCGGCGGCGGCGGCGGCAGCAGCGGCGGCGGCAGGAGAGGCAGCAGTGACAGTAGCAACAGCATCCTGTTGTGTTAACGCGAAAGAGGCTGAAAGAGGCTGAATCATTACAGAGCAGCAGGTGCCTGCCCTCCAAGCATCACTGCAAACAGTAGCATCACAGAGGGATCTGAAGGAAAGCCTGCGGCCAGGAGGGGCGGTAACTCCCTTCCCCGCCCTGCCTCCACCCCCACCCCCCAACCACTCCTCTTTGTCCTTCTTGAGCGCTCACTTTCTTCCTCTGCAGTCTTCCTTCTTCATAGTCTCTTTCTCTTTTTTCCCCTCATCCCAAACTCGTCCTGTCTCTCTCCTCTATCTCATCTCTCTCCTCTCTCTCTCTCTCTCTCTCTCTCTCTCTCTCTCTCTCTCTCTCTCCTCTCTCCCCACTCTCCCAGCCCCCACCCTCTATCCCCCACTCTAAGCTGCTGGCTGGTCTGAGTAAAATCAGTACTGTGCACCCAGCAACACAGGACTGCCAGTGACTTCCTATTTTATCCAATTAGAAGGAATAAAGGCCATCAAATCAAAGAGAAGCAGGCAGGCACCAGTTAAGCTTGGTCCCCATGCACACACACCCCCCCCTTTCCCTTTCTCTTTCTTTCTCTAGAAAAGCAGCCCCAGTCATCCAACTCCCCCTGCCCCCCCTTGCTTGCTCTCCCTCTTGCTGACTCTTTCCTTCACCTACTGTTGGGTCAGGAAAAGCCAGCGATCGATTCTAGCAATCTAACAAAGCTGGGATGGGGCGGGGGATGTAGGTGGGACCTTATGGGTTGGACCTGAGGCTTGGCAAAGTCTGATATCTGATTCCTCCCCAGAGAGGTAAGCTTTTTCAACAGCAATTTCTTCCTGCCTGCTGCTGAGAGATAGCATTCGTTCCCCAGTCTACTCTAATAAGTTTTGTTCACCAGCAGGACTGTTATTACCTAATTTTCAACCAACAGTTAGAAACATTGTTTTCTAACCATGGACAGCTCTGCATTTAGCCCTTTCTATGATGACTGTGTGAGACTTTATAGTGTCCTATGTGAAATGTAGAGTGTTAGAGGCTGAGAAGTACTAAAGGAAGGAAGAGAAGCCCTTACATCCCCTTTCCTTAAATTTGCATTTCCCTTGTTCTACCCAGAGCAGGCTAAATTAATGTCAAGAGAATAGGACACATTGGTAAGTAACATAGGAGCAAGGGCTACTGCTTCATTTTTAAATTAGCCTTTCATTGTGACTCCACACTGCACAGGTTTGAATTCCCTGGATGCTGTAATATATACCACATGTCCTCAGCTATAAAGGCACTGCAAGTATTGAGAAGAGTTTTCAATACAGCATGCCTTTCGGGTTAGGTTTCAGGAGCTGTACCTTACAGTTTCAATGCTGTTTTTCCCCCCTGTTAAACCAGTAGTCATTAAAAGATGAAAAGAAATGCAATGTCCTTAATGGAGAAGGCAGGCTCCTCAGAACATTCTGTTGCACATCTATGTGTGCTATATGCATCTGAACCTTAATCCACACTTCACTGAGACTGGACATCTGAATGGTTTCCAAGGAACCATTGTATTCACTTATGTCAATAGAAGTCTTAAAAAACTCTCTAAATCTACACTATATATCCATCAAATGAGTCCCAGAAGCCGTAAAATTTGGAGCACAAGTCCTATGAAAATCTGCTTTAAGCACTTTATATTTTGTATAGCACAATTTCCACTCTTTTGAAATATGTTTAAGCTTCAAATGGCAGGAGATAAGAATATTATCATTTCCTTCAATATGAAATTACTCCACAGTTATAAAAGATTTCAAGGGTAGTAATATCTTAAACTGTATTTTCAGTATTATAACTAACAACAAAAGCTGGAATTAATTTGCATAACTGTAACCATAACTATGACAACCTTATGGACAAAATGAGTTATACTTAAGTTCAGCTCTCTATGACCTGCATCTATACACCAATAACCACATTTTAAAATCATTTCTATGCTCATTTTCTAGCTTTACCTGTTAATTTTAAAGTATTGAGAGCTCTCTTAATAAAGATTCTAGTGATGGACAGGAAGTTTTATAGTACAGAAAATACTGAAGCATTATGATCTTAATTATCAATATTCATGTAAGTATTCCAAAACAACATAAGCAGGTAAAGGTTTAGGCTAAATCAGAATAATTTATAATTTGTTCAAAGATCACTCAAGTTACATTCATAACAACTCTTCAATTCTGCCCCCAAACCAATATAACACTCAAGTTTGATATTTTGACAGTTCATTTTGGGCATGGTCATCTAAATTTCAAAGACCAAAGTGGAGTTCCTCTAGCCCCAAGTCATATAGGTGAGAGAAGAAACCAAGAACAATAACCCAGAGATGTGAAAATCTGTTGTTAACTTGCACCAATCATAATTACCTCACCTTAATCATTATGAGCTAACATATTGTGGACTGGAGTTGTGGCTTAGTGGTGGAGGACTTGCCTAGCATTTGTGACACGCTGGGCTCAATTCTCAGCATCTCATATAAGCAAATAAATAAAATAAAGGTCCGTCAACAACTAAAAGAATGTATTTTTTTAAAAAGTTAAAAAAAAGAGTTAAATATTGAACAGACATAATAAGCTAGGGGATGTTGCTCTAGTTGTCATATTAAAAACCACCAAAACTTTCAAAGAAAGACAATATGTTATACAAAAGCAAGAGCAAAATATCAGAGATAGTGTCTTAAGGGCTGCTACAACTATTCCTTGCCCTGGACTACACAAATCAAACTTTGGGATGAGTGTGCTTGCTCCCTGGGAATGGATTTCATGAACTCCGTGGCACGCTGGCACTGAGATCAGCTTGCAGAGAGTCAGTTTCCTATAAAATTGTTTTCTTCTACTAAATTGGAAGATGAATGTAACTGGGGAAAGGGAGTAGGACAGGAGGTGAAGAATAAAAGGAATTCTCCATTAGTTCTACCCTGGGGACTAGGAGCCAGAAGTTACCTTTATCCCTTCATCAAATCTACAGCAATAAGTACACGAGGAAGGGTAGCATACATGGGGTTATAGGTCAGAATTGCCTTTGGATGAAACATACTTATGTCCATAGGAAGAACTATAGAACAAACTATATTTAACCCTTAAAGTGCCACTGTAATAAACCCCAGGAACACCCATATTTCCATGTCCTCTTAAAAAACATGAAAAGAGACAATCTTTCTACTACCTTTTTAAAACCTTCTATTACCACCTTTTTCATAATAAAACCTACATTTATTTGAGCTCTACCTATGTGCCTGGCACTCTGCTAAGTTCATAACATACATTATTTCTGATCTTTGCTAATACTATATAATCCTTATTACCTTGAAAATAAAGAGACATGGGCTCAGGAAATTTAGGTAATTTAGCCACAGAGTAAATGACTAAAAGAGCCAAGATCTGAAGAAGGCCTGACTCATGCTATTTATGCTGAAAAACACTGCTTTTTTCAGTCAAAACAGTATATCTATTATGTATTCTTTACATTTCAATTCAATGAGAGAATAAGAGAACCAGAAAGAATAAACAATCAAATGTGAATTTTTTACCTTACTACAATTAACAAATTTAAAGGTGCCTAGTTTCCAAAACAAGAGCCTTCTAAAATTTTGCCTACTGATTTCCAGAAGTTAGTTATAATGATTAAACATAGGCCATTTAAATATGATCTATTTTTAATTGAAATTAAATGAGCTCTTCTATAGTCTCAATTCCAGAACTCTTTTGGGGGAGCTATTTCAATTACATATTGCTGCAAAATAAACTGCTCTGAAATAGCTTAAAATAGCAATCTTTATTATGTCTCACTAGGCTGTTGATTTACTGGGTTCAGCTGAGTGGTTCTCCTGACCCATTTGATGCCCGATAGAGACATAATTTGGCCTGAACATTCAAGGTAGCTCACATATATGACTGGCAGCTGAAACAGATGTCAGCTGGGAACTCAACTGGAGGTGTCAAATGGCGGACCAGCATGTGGCTTCTCCATGTGGCTTGAGCTTTGCATAGCATGGTGGTTAGGTTCTGAAAGGAAGCATAGGCTTCCAGTCCTGATAAAGACTGGTGTGGAGTGCCACAAGTTATTTGCATTGCATCTTCTTTGTTAAATAATCACAGTGCCAGTCCAGACTCAGGACAGGAATACTAAATGTTGATGGAGAGAGTGACAAAGAGTTTGTTGCCACAACAGAGGAAGCAAATATACGTAAGCCAACCTGGGTCAAGAGGAGACATAATAAGAGAATGGATTTGGAACAAGCAGGTAAAATATACCTTGTATTTCTGATCCACATTCTTGATATTCCAGCTTCCTTGTAAGTCAGTTTCATTGAAAAAAAATCCTATTATTGCATAAAAAAATACTTAAATTCCTCTTCTACTTCAACCCAAGCTAGCTACTTATTTCTGCTTTCATTTTCAGAAGTATGTAACACAGCTCCAGCAGATGAAAGGGGATGATAAATGGCATTTGGGTTTTGACCACATTATCCAAGTTTATTTTCTCTTTTGCATTTTTTGTTGTATTTTGCGCTTTGCAAAAGTTCCTAAATTTTATCACTTAAAAAAGGTAGAATTTATTTCATGGTATATAATATAGAATGATGATAGCAGTAATTTCATTTTTAAGATAACTAGGTATAAATGGTAATTTATATATTTATTTGCTAATGAAATATGAAATCATGATTTTCACAAGAAAGCTCCAAGGCCCAAAGGACATTTTAAAAACTTGCTGTTCTATCAGAGCATCAAGTACCAAAATGGACCTGTTAAGACTCCTCCCACCAACCCAAAACATCCCCTCAGCCTCCATGGAGCCCTTCCTAATCTTCCAAGTCATGGATTTCCTCACTGTAATATTTATTGGGGCATATTTTAACTGTCATGTATAATTATTGAATAATATCTTGTAAAGATACTGACATCTTCTTGATACCAACAATTGGGACTATCAACTTCTGCTTGTCCTAAATCTAGAGATGTGTCGGCAATTCAACACACATATTTTGCTTGGTTTTATTTTTATTGAGATTGAATTAAAAATACATAGATTATTGTGCCCCTAACAAATTGGTAGACTTTTTCATATCCATCTATCTATCTAAAATACCATCTGTACTTTCTTTCAT